AGCTGAGCCAATTGCTGAGCTTGGAGGCTGTGAAAACCCAGGTTCCTTGGTTCTTCCTGGGCAGCGTGCTATGTTCCTGAGGCATCTATTCAGATCCTCTCCCTGCCCTGGCTGTTGTCCCAAATTTGCCCCTAGATTTACCCCTGACCTGTGTTGTATTTGACCACACACTCAGGTTTTATTTGTATTTGTTCTTTGCTCGTTTTGCGGTTTCTTTGGCTTCTGGTTGCCAAATAATCTGAGATTTAGGGTTTTAGGGGGTCTTCTGCTCCACCTTCATATTATAAGACAAGAGCCCCCCTTTCTGGGCTTCCCAGGTGGTGCTAGTGGTAAAGAACCCACCTGCCAATGCTGGAGACAATCAGGGACACAAATTTGATCCCTGGATGGGAAAGATCCCTTGGAGGAGGAAATGGCAACCTACTCTAGTATTCTTGCCTGGAGAATCCATGGACAGAGGAGGAGTCTGGCGGGCTACAGTCTAGGGTCGTCAAGAGTTGGACACGACTGAAGCGACTTGGCACATAGCACTCCCCTTTCTGTACCTGAAGGTCAAAGGTTATTGTTTGTTTCACATCAATGGTGGTGGTGGTGGTGTAGTCGCTACATTTCACATCAGCGCTGGTCCTAAAAGCCCTTTTTCTCTCCCAGTTCCACATTGCAGCCTGATGTTCACTCCCAGCGGGATATCATCAACACCCTCTCCCTTTCCATAGCTCAAATCAGATCAGGTTTCACACATTTTTTGAGATTTGTAGAACTTGTTTTCATGATTAAAGTATCTTATTTAGAGGCTTTGTGGCAAGCAGGCGATGTCCTTGCCTGTGAGGAATTGGAGACATTGGGAACCGGAACTGCAGGCCCAAGTGGCCGCCGATCACACACCGCGGTAATGAGATCACCCAGGTGAGAAATGTTAGCCCTTGAATTTCCAGCGTGTCATTAGTCATGGACGTTCCCTGCCTTCCAGAAACCTGGAGTCAAGCTTCCAAATGCTTATCTGGGACTTGAATAGAGTCTCTCATGACAACACTGGGGAAAGGTTTCTTTTAAATGTCATGATGCTGTGAAATGATTCAAGCCCCTTCTTGAACCTTCAGGTTGGGAGTTGGGCTTTCACCAGCCCCTTTCTGGTTTTCACATGAATAACAGAATTTTGATGCTGAAGTGTCCTTGTAGGTTCACCTTTAAGTTTCTCTTGCCTGGGACTTCCCTGGTGGTCCAGTGATTAAGACTCTGTGTTTCCAAAGCAAGGGATGTGGGTTCGATCCCTCATGGGGGAACTAAAATCCTGCAAGCTGTGAGGCCAAAAAATAAAAGTTTTCTTGTCTCAGATGTGAAGACTGTGGACAGAGGAGGGCAGAGACTGGAAATTCTGTAGGAATTGGTGGTGGGCTGGGGACACAATGTGTGTATCAAATCCTCAGTCCAGTACATGGACCCCAAATGTCTCTTGGTTCTGGGGTCACATTTGTAAAACACTAGAGGGTGTTTTGTTATGTAGTTCGGGGGAGAGGGTGAGTCTTGTTCTGATGTATTAGGTGAAAGATTGGATAATTGTTTCATTTATTTGGGGCTTCCCAGGTGGCACTAATGGTAAAGAACCCACCTGCCAATACAGGAGATGTAAGGAACACGGGTTCGACCTTGTGGAAGATCCCCTGGAGGAGGGCATGGCAACCCACCCCAATTCAGTACAAACAGTTATTGAGGGCCCACCACCAGCCTGGAATGGAATCACTGGAGGAGACTATTGCCTGATATCCTTAGCGAGAATATTGTCCAGTGTCCCCACATCTGACTGATTTTAAATTATTGTCAGGGTTATCTGATTAAAGAATAGAGATTCTGAATCTCTGTCCTGCCTCTCCCCATGATTCAGTACGTCTGAGCTGGGACTCAGGCAAATTAATTTTAAAATCACTTCTCAGGTAATTCTGACAACCTGCCATGTTTGGGTTCCACAGGCTCCATTACTACCTTCACTTAGATGTCAGACAAGCTGATTGGATTTCCCCAGGTGCCACACTTCATAGGTCAGGAAGCTAATTCCCACACAGATTAAGCGACTTTCCCATGTCACAGGCTTCCCTGAGAGCTCAGTTGGTAAAGAATCCCTGCAGTGCAGGAGACCCCAGTCAATTCCTGAGTCTGGAAGATCCACTAGAGAAGGGAGAGGCTACCCACTCCAGTATTCTTGGGCTTCCCTTGTGGCTCAGCTTGTAAAGAGTCAGCCCGCAATGCAGGAGACCTGGGTTCGATCCCTGGGTTGGGAAGATCCCCTGGGGAAATGGAAAGGCTACCCACTCCAGTATTCTGGCTTGGAGAATTCCATGGACTGTAGTAGCATGGGGTCGCAAAGAGTTGAACATGACTAACTGACTTTCACTGATGCCCAAGTCACAGGGCTAGTTGTGAATGAATGGGCTTAATGCTGTCGCTCTCCTGTAGCTGAGGCTTCCTGAAAGAGTGCCTGGGGACTTTGGCCTTCACTGTTGTATGCTGCAGGGTGACAGGCAGAGCTGGAGTTACACTGCCCTCAAGTGAGAGTGGGATCTTCTCAGGACCCTGCAGTCCTGAAGCCTCTGCTGATGACAGTGGGGGACATTTTGCCAACACTGAGAGCAAGGAAAAAGGAAGATATTAACCTCCATCTGTGTTCTGGTGAATTTGCCTTGAGTTTTCATGGGAGAAGGGGGCTCATGAGGCTGTAATAACTGAACAAATGTTTAGAATGGTAATCCAAGAATTTTAATTAAATGCCTGCTATGTGCTAGGTGAGAATGATTTTGGATTGCACTATTTACTCAGATGTTGAAAGGAACACAAATGCCATTTGGATTTTGGTTAAATCAGTTATATTAAAAATTATGATTATTATTATTTTATGTGGACCATTTTTAGAGTCTTTATTGAATTTGTTACAATATTGTTTCTGTTGTTGATGTTCTGTATTTCGGCCATTCAGCATGTGGCTCTTAGCTCCCTAACCATGGATTGAACTTGCACCCCCTCCATTGGAAGGCAAAATCTTAACCACTGGACCACCAGGGAAATACCTGCCCTCAGGATTTTGATATGGATTTCCATATCGTGTCAAAGCCCTAGGAAACCACACTGAGAAAGAGGGTCTCTTTGAGAGCCCAGCCTGACCCTTTCAGATGAACAAAGCACACGGGCTGCTGGCTTTCCTTCTAGCTGTATATACACCCATCATTGCTGGCACTGTATCGGACGCTCAGGTGTACCAGACTCCCACACAGGTTAATTTCACCCTTCAAGGTGGGTATTATATTAACCCAGATTATAGTTGAAGAAAGTGAGGCTGAACTAGTTAAGGAATGGACCAAGGTTGTCACAGGCACGGAAAGTGATACAGTTGAGATGCAGATACACGTGGGCCTTACCTCAAAGCTTAAATGCAGAGGGAAAGACCAGCCTCTCTGCCTATCTCCCTGCACCCCCCACCCCTCGTCCCTCTCCCCTCCTCCTTTATCTGATGGTTACATGTGTGTCTCACTAGGCACTGTGTTTATTGAAGACAAGCACTGCATGCTGCTTGGGGTTTATATTCCGTCTGCATGGGACACATTCTCACACACTGTAAACACGCGATGTTTACGGAATACAGCAGTAAAGTGCAGGAGGCGATCCACGCATAGAGATCTATAGCTTTTAGTTGTTCCTACGTGAAGTTACACCCAAATAAGAATAAACTGCTCAGAAAATAAATGGATTAAACAAAAAATTACAATTGTCAAAATTATTTTTTTCGCTCAGTGTTCCTTAAAAATAAAAAAGAATCTGATTGATACCGTGGAGGATAGTACGTCCCCTTCCAACCGCGCGTCCGATACTATCTTCGTTTGCAATATTATCAATGATTCTTTCGGAAGCTTTTGCTTTTTCAAAATCTGGAAAAAACAAGGGGTCGATTCCTTTAATTTCAGAAGGATGTAGGTCTACTTGTAATAATAAAGATTTTTTCTAAATTAATTAAACGAACACAGTTTCATTTATAGGACTGACTTTGATGTGACGCATCTATTGAACGAAAAGCTATAAACTAGCAAGCTGAATTGTGGTAACGATGGTAACAGGGGGGTGGGGCCTTCCCTCGTTACCTCTTGGGAAGCACGGCCAGAACGCTCTGAGGAAGTTTGGCCTGTTACCCACGCCGTAGATCGCGCTGCATGCTGGGTCTTGGCGATATGGCGTCCTCCTTGATGTGCTGATGAGAGGAGTTTCACTGTAGCTTGAAATCAGAGGGCAAAACTCCCCAAACCCAATAAGCCCACATTACCTGTTATTTCCGCGGCTCTGTGTCGCCTGTCTCTCAAGACTCGTTCTCAAACAAGCGAGAGCCATAGGGCTGGAGGCCAGGACCGGCCAGGCCGCGCGGACCTAGGGCTGAGGAGCCGGCTGCGGGCGAGCACGATGGGCCGGTCCTGGCTCTGGTTGCAGCAGCTCCGGCGAGTGCGCGACCCACAGGGCTGAGAGTGGCTGCAAGAGACCCAAGGCGCTCTGAACCTCATCCCCTCAGCCGAAGATCTCAGCCCAGTCGGCGAACCGGCGCCAAGAGCGGGCGGCCTGCCTGTCCTCGGATCGGCTGAGACGTTGGAGGCCGGGAGCAGGGTCATCGTGAGGCCTGGAGTCTCGTACGCCTTTGACAGCTCCGCTCGCAGCCCCTCTGGGAACGGACGGCCTCAGAAGCAGCCGGTGGCTTGGGATCTGGGGGCGTGTGTGTGTGTGCGCGGAGTCTCTTGGTTCCCTCATTTCCCACCCTTCTTCCCACCCCCTCCGACTTCCCGCGCAGAGTTAGAGAGAAGAATCTCAGACTTTTTGCCTGAGTGAGGGTCTCCACACTCTCTCCATCCATTTCTTTTTCTACGTCCCCCCTTTCTGTTTCTTATTTCACCCATTCTGGTACACACTAGTTTTCAAGGCTGGAGGTTCTTGAGCGTTTGCTGCCCAGGACTCCTCCACCCCCTCCCCCGCTCATGGAGTCCGAGATGCTGCAGTCGCCTCTCTTGGGACTCGGGGAGGAAGATGAGGCTGACCTTACAGACTGGAACCTGCCTTTGGCTTTTATGAAAAAGAGGCACTGTGAGAAAATCGAAGGCTCCAAATCCTTAGCTCAGAGCTGGAGGATGAAGGATCGGGTAAGTGGATAGCGCCTGCGCCCCTTGGACCTAGGTAGTTTTTTCAAGAAAGTTCAGAGCCAGAAGTATGTCCTTGGTAGAGCGGCGATATACTTTCCCAGACACGTGTTGCAGGTCAACTAAAAATCGCGAATCATTTCAGACTCCAGTTTTGGTTGTAAATGGAAAAGGCTGTTTTGGTTAGTAGTTATTCACTGGATAGTGTTAATTAGATTCAAAGTAAGTTCTAATTCAGACAATGAAAGTTACACAAGTTAGAAAATACATCGTTGCAAGTATTTACATGCTTTTTTTTAGATATACTTAGTACTGTTAATACTTAGAGGAAAGACAACTTGGGATGTAATATTTGTCCCCACGTGGTAGGTCTACTTTTAGTGGCTAGTTTACTTTTTTTTTTTTTCGGTCCAAGCTAGGTGAAATGCAGAAGTCTAATATAGTATGCTAGGAAACAAGATTACTGGCAAATGTTCAGCTAGTAACAAATTAATGCAAAGTTATTTTAAAGTTACAGTGAACTTTACCATAGCTTTCTAAGCAATTTGTCTTGAATCTAGACTTTGCTCCATTTATGTGGTGTCCTGTTACTATTACTTGGAGGCAGAATTTCTCTAATAGTAGAGTATGAGTAGTTGGAACTTGGGTCTAGTAGGGGGTCCTTATGGTGTTGGAACGTGGATAGTGACCCAGGCTGCTGGTAGGAAACAAAGTCAATTTTGTTCAACCACCATCTATTTCCTGGTCTCCAGAGCAAAAGGGTGGGACTGTGTCACCCATACATATTTATAATTTGTCTTTTTGTGTTTTGTTTTCTGCTTCAAGACTGTCTTTATTTACTTGAACTTTTTAGTCTAAGAAGGGTAGTTTTATCATGTAGTGTGCTTGCTCTGGGCCGATGGATATGTTTATATAAGATGCTTTTTTTTCAGTATATGATGTTGAACATATTGACAATTACCCTTATGGTAATTCTAGTTATTCAGTCACTAAAGTGCTTCAGTTGTTATTTGGTGTACCTTCAAAAGGTTTGGAAAAGGAAATGGCACTCCATTATTCTTGCCTGGAAAATCCCATGGACAGAAGAGCCTGGTGGGCTACCGCTCATGAGGTCGCAAAGAGTCAGACAGGGCTGAGCTACTGAGCATGCCCAAAAGGTCAGGAAAATCTGTTTCATCCAAAAGTGGTTTAGGGAGTGACAGAGATGGTCATTCGAAAAGATTGTATAAAGTCTGTCTTATTCAGCTTTAGTATTAATTACATGGTTTAAAGCTTTTGTGGTTGCTGTCCATATATGAAAAGGTTTATTCTAAAAGTAACTGTAATCTTTTTTCATTCTAATTGAAGGGCTTTTTTTTTTTTTTCCTGTTGAAATGTAGTTTTCTTTGTTACTCTAAACCCATGCTTAAACTGTTCAAAACTGATTAATGGATTTATTTTTGACCTTTTATTTAAAACAATTTGTGAATGATCAACATTCCCTGATGTGCTCCTCATAGGTTATTAAGAGGAAGAAAAGTTTTGGGAGTCTGAGTAGTTACTGAGATTGTGACTTAGAGCTAGTCAAGAGAGTATCCAGCTTTTGCAAGTTGTTTAATAAGGAAAAAATATCAGCAGCTAACATTTTTAGTTAAATTTCTGACAACTTGGCATCTGGCCATCCTTATAGTCTCTTTTCCCTTGTTAGACCCTGAGGAGGCTTTTTCAGTATACTCTACTAGGACAAAGGGTGCAAATCCAAATAATGCTGAGAGTTGAAAGGTAGCATAAAACAGCCAGGTAGAAGGAGAATAATGGGCAGATTCAGAGATAAATGGCAACTGAGGTTTGACTCATTTCTGACTTTCTGGAGGATGGGATCAGTGGGGCTCCGAAGAGCACAGGGTGCAGCTCAAGGGGCAGCTGAGCCTGGCCAGGTCTTCCTTTCTCTTTCTTTTCTTTGAGAAGCCAGAAAACTTTTTTTTTTTTTTTTAATGTGAAGTTTTCCAATTTTAAAATATTGGAATGACTTCAAATATTAAAAACCATGAAACGGTGTATCTGTGGGGCTGGCTCTGGCCAAGGGGTACCCATATGTGACTTGGACTTCAAGATTCTAGAACTGTTGAGCATATGGGCATCCAGGCCAGACTTTCCCTGTGCTGGGATGGTCTCCAGCAGTCTGATGGTGCAGCATTGTCATAAAGCTGCAGGTGTGGGTCCAGTTGTCCTATATGCGGACCAATGTAGACCACTTCTGGTGCACCATCGATTGCCCTAAATGCAGACTCAGTCATTGCTTTTTCCTGTGATCCGCAGGCAAGTCCACATACTTTTACTGTATATGTATTAGCATTTTCTTGCTGGTGTCCTATTTAGTGGAGTTGTTAAGTGTTCCTAAAATCAACAACTTTACCAAAGTTGAGTAACAACTCCAAGTTTCTGCCATCCGGCATTTGGCATCCTCACAGAATTGCAGCACACTTTTGTTTGGAATTCCCGCGATCTTGGTGTTAAATCATTTCTGGTTTTCAGATGCCACTATTGTTGCATTTTAACTACTAAGTTACTGTTCATTACTGTTATTATCAAATTATCGAGTTGGTTTTTTGGTTAGTTCTGTGTGTTATAAATGTGTATGTGCATCGATGGCATTTTTGATTTGTGATTTTCAAATACATAGACATATGAATTGCAGTTCAAAAATGAATCATTCATGGACCTGTGGCTAAAACAGATTTGTGTAGAACTCTTCAATTTGGGTTTTACTGTGATTCTTCATCTTTATCACAGAGTTCATTTTCCAGAAAGTGGGCATGTGGATATAATTGATCTCAGATGAATCTTTACCTTGCATGTGTGGGATGGAATCCGGGAACATGAGAGCTACTGCTCTGAAAGAAAACCATCAGCAGACACACTGTACTTGCAAGTGTGCAGGAGATATAGCTATAAAATGATGAAACCATTTCCCAAACCAGTCTTTAGACTTAGTCACCCTGCTTTGTAGCCAAACTTGAATAAACCATGGAGGAAGCTGAGTAGATTACATTAAACTGTTATGTGGACAGTCAAATGTTTAGGCTGTCTTTAGAGCAAGGCTAAGTAGTAATACTTTACAACTCTTTCTTACTTCCTGTTTCCTCTCTATGAATCCTCTCAATCTATTCCATTTAGACTCTCTTCATGCCACTCAGACCATCCTTCTACACGGTGATTATTAGTTGCTAAATCTAAATGTCCTTCTATATGGTGATTATTTGTTGCTAAATCTAAATGTCACTTCTCTCTCCGTATCTTTTCAACTTCTTGGCAGCATTCCAGGGTGGACCACTCCCTCCATAAAGCTTTTCCCTCACTTGCATCTATGTCTTCCTGAAACTCCAGGTTTTCCTCTGAGGTCACTAATTGCTCTTCCTCAGACTCCTTTGCTGGTTGACAGCAGAGTCTGTAGTACCTGGGAACTTGATCTTGGAGATCTTTCTATTCTGTATGCCCCTCGCTAGCTGATCTCATCTAGTCTCATGGTTTTATGTGCCGTCTACATGCCTTGACCCTTGACTCCTGTCTCGGGTACTTGGCTGCCCGCTTTGCCTTGGTTTTCTCCATCACAACACACTGCCATCACCACCCACTCAGTTGTTTCAAGCTATACATATGGAATTTACCCGTAATTATTTCCTCTTCCTCTCCTCTTTGTACAATCCATTTCATCAGTAGGACCTGTCAACTTTGCCTCCAGGGTGTATTCTGTATTGGACCACCTCATTTTGTCTCCACTGCTCTGAGCCCAGTCCAGGCAATTACCATGTTTCATCTGGACAGCTAGAATCATGTCCTGACTGGTCTTCTGGTGTCTTCTCTTGCCCTACAATTTACTTTTCTTTAAAAAAAGTTTTCATTCATTTATTTATTTTTGGTTGTGCTGGGTCTTCTTTGCTGCATGCAGGATTGGTTGTGATGAGCAGGGGCTACTCTTTGTTGCGGTGCACAGGCTTCTCACTGTGATGCCTTCTCTTGTTGCGGCACACGGGCTCTAGGGCATTCAGGCTTCAGTATTGCGATGCAGCATGTGGAATCTTCCTGGACCAGGAATGGAACCAATGTCCCCTGCATTGGCAGGTGGATTCTTAACCACTGGATTACCAGGGAAGTTCGACAGCTTATTCTTCACATAGTGGTCAGAGGGATCTTGTTAAAGTGTAAATCAGATCTCGTCACTTCCTTACTAGGCCTCTCCCCGACTTCCTAGTCCTTGGAGTAGAAAAGAGACGCCACCCTGGTTCACAAAGCTTCATAATCTGGCCCTGCCTGCCTTTTCTGCTTCTTGAATGGAAAGGCCTGGAATGTTCTTCCATCTCACCTTTGCACACTTGGCTCCTTGTGGTTTGTAGCCAGCGTCTAGGTCACTTTCTCAGAGACCTTCCCTGATCACCCCATCTTAAGCAGCTCCCCAGTGGCTCATGATCTCTCTTTATGTCTCTGATATTTTTCTTTATACCCCACCCCCAGAAATTAGCTTTTTATCATAAAGCAAAGGCCTTGTCTCTGCTGTCATAGAGGATGGTGCTTGGCATACAGTAGCACTTCAATAAGAATGTACTGATGAGGGGCTTCCCTGGTCGCTCAGTGGTGAAGAATCTGCCTGCCAATGCAGGAGATTCGGGTTCGATCCCTGATCTGGAAAAATCCCACATGCCACGGAGCCACAAGCCTGAGTGCCACAACTATGGAGCCTGGTCTCTGGAGCACACAAGTGGCAGCTACTGAGCCCACATGCCGTAGAGCCCCTGCTCCGAAACAAGAGATGCCACCGCAGTGAGAAGCCCACCTGCTCACCACAACTAGAGAAGAGCCCAAGTAGCGACGAAGGCCGCAAACAGCCAAAATAAATGAATACATTTAAAAATAAAATTATTTTTAAAAAGTACTGGTGAAAAAATGAATTGCTTACAAAGGGCTTTCACATAAATTATGTCTTTTAAGACTCAATAGCAGGGATTGTTACCTCCATGTGATTGTTG